CTCTGCGTGCCCCTTTGCCTTCTCCTCCTGAGTCCTCTCTTCCTGCTCTTGCCGACCCGGAGTCGGACTCTCTTCGTGCTGCCAGTCCTACTGTCACGCGTCTCCTTGCTACTGTCGTCACTGACCCTTCCTTTGAGTCTGCTGCTGCGTCTGCCCTAGTTGCTGAGCTTGTCGACTTTGCTGCTCGCTGTCGTCTAGACTACGCTGCTAGTCTTGTCGCTGAGTCTGAGTCTGTCTGTCCTCCGTCCGTCGAGGGTGAGTGTGCCCTTGGCACGGACGTCCTTGAGGACAGACAGGAGGAGTTCCAGTGTTTGGCTGCTGCTTCACCTCATCTCGTGTCCGTACTGCTTACCCCTGAGGGAGACCCGGATGCACTTGACATCCCGACTCCGCGCTCTTACGCGGAGGCGATAGAGGGTCCCTACTCCTCTGAGTGGCAGGCAGCTATGGATACAGAGATGGCTTCCTGGAAGTCCACAGGCACCTACGTTGACGAGGTTCCCCCGCCTGGGGCGAACATCGTGAGTGGCATGTGGATTTTCAGGGTGAAGCGGCCGCCGGGTTCTCCGCCTGTCTTCAAGGCGCGTTACGTGGCTCGTGGCTTCAGTCAGCGGCAGGGAGTTGACTACTTTCAGACCTTCTCTCCCACCCCGAAGATGACCACTCTTCGGGTACTGCTGCACATGGCTGCTCACCGCGACTATGAGCTACACTCTCTTGACTTCAGCACTGCTTTCTTGCAGGGCAGCCTGCACGAGGAGATCTGGCTGCGTCGCTGGGTCTTTTCCTCCTCGCACCCAGTGGAGCCTCCGGCGGCCAATCTACGGTCTCCGCCAGGCGCCCCGTGAGTGGCACGACACACTGAGGACTACACTTGCGGCTCTTGGGTTTGCTCCTTCTACAGCCGACCCGTCGCTGTTTCTGCGCACCGACACCTGTTTGCCGCCGTTCTACATCCTCGTGTACGTCGACGACTTGGTCGTTGCCACAGCTGACACTGCTGGACTCGCCCACGTGAATTCTGAGCTGCAGAAGAGACACACGTGCACAGACCTGGGTGAACTGCGCAGCTACCTTGGCTTGCAGATCACCCGGGACAGAGCAGAGCGCACCATTACCCTGACTCAGTCACACATGGTGCAGCAGGTCCTTCAGCGCTTCGACTTCACGTACTCCTCGCCTCAGGCCACTACTCTGCCTACTCGCCACTCGCTCTCAGCTCTGCCTTCGGATGAGTCCGTAGAGTCGAGTGGCCCATACCCAGAGCTTGTTGGCAGCCTCATGTACCTAATGACCTGCACACGACCTGACCTTGCATACCCTCTTAGCATTCTCGCACGCTATGTTGCTCCTGGGAGACACTGACCGGAGCACATGGCTGCAGCGCAGAGGGTGTTGCGCTACTTGTGCAGTACGTCGGGCATGGGGCTAGTGCTTGGAGGGCAGAGCCCAGTGGACCTCATTGGGCACGCAGACGCTTCTTGGGCTAACGACGAGGCTACACAGCGGTCGTCACAGGGTTACACCTTCAGCCTTGGTTCCGGCTCTGTTTCGTGGCGGGCTACCCGCTCGTCTTCTGTTCTCGGCTCCAGTTGTGAGGCTGAGATCTACGCCGGAGCCATGGGTGCACAGGAGCTTCACTGGCTCACCTACCTGCTGACTGACCTCGGAGAGCCGCCTCGTTCTCCTCCAGTGCTGTACGTAGACAACAAGGCCATGCTGGCCTTGTGTCGAGAGCAGAGACTGGAGCACAGAACGAAGCACATTGCTCTCCGCTACTTCCTTGCTTGTGAGCTACAGCAGCGCGGTCAGCTGCGCCTTGCGTACGTGGCCTCTGAGGCCAACACTGCTGATATCTTCACCAAGGCACTTGCGCCTTGTGATCATCAGCGCTTCTGTACTCAGCTGGGTCTTGTGCCTACCTTGCCTCACTTGCTCACTCCTTGACCTTGTTTGTACTGTTGCATATATATATAGACACCTGCTCTTGCTTGTCTAGCCTTATATATATATGTAATCCTGCATGTGAACTGGCCTTGTGGCCTTGAACTTGTGCTCGGAATGTGTGGTGACTTTGTGATCCACCCTGAGCTTGCTTTGATTTTCTTGACTGGTCTTGTGACCCCTTGTTCTCCCCCAGTTTGCCTATGGGGGTGTGTCAGATTTATATGACATAGCTACTGTAGGCTATAGTGGGGTAGCATATATGGGGTACAGCTTTCTAGGGTTTGTACTTGTACCCAACTTTCCCTTAGTCATTTCATTCTCGTTCTCTTTTCTCAGCACTCGCTTTCTACTTACGTGAAAGCCTAGGCCGGTCATGAGTACTACTAGGCGATCAAGATATGTGTGAGCCAAACAGCGGGCCAACTTGAGCGACGCTCGGTTCTGTTTTGCGATCGTGGACATCAGCCAATTAGGAGAGAGTGTCGCTAGGCGTTGTCCCAGAGTAGCAAGAGTTCTGAGCAAAAAAGTAGGGTAACCCTGTTTTTGACGATTTTAAATTCAAGAATCTTGAACTTGAAAATAACCATGCTGTACCCGGGCCAAAGAGAGGGGTCTTATAATGTTTAATACCAAAAGGGGGGTCCTCACAGATTGGTCCTTAATAAGCGTACCACCCCCGCGCAAATAAGACCCATGGGACTGTTATTCCGGAGGGTCCTATATACAGGAAAATACGGTTCTTGTCACTCTAGGCAAACTTAAAGCCAGCAGGTAAAATAGTGAACCCCCCCTTCTAGTTGGGTCCACTTGAAGATGAAGTATTTTTGTTTTGTTTTGGAATGTTGGAATTGCTGTATGTGTGCTTTTTTTTCCGACCCTCGGACGAGTTTCTTTTTGGACCAGGAACGATAGTTCATTGTCAATTCTGATTGGCAGCCAGGTTCTCTCACATGTACATGTGCGAATTTGGTGCAAAGTTGAGCGACGAGCACTCCTGCATTCACTAGAGCCAATACTTCACCAGATTCACAACTAGCAACATCTCACGCTAAATCCCAAGCAGACACACATGTACGTGATGAGAGTGAAAGTGTTCGAACGTTATTAGAGCTAGTAGATCTCTGATCAATGTGCTGCCTTGGACTTGAGGCCTGGGAGAGGTGCAATAACGGGAAACATAAGAGAAAAACAGCACTAGGTGTCAGAACATTATAGCTTATACATTTTTGTAGGCTGTAGTGGGGTAGCCCATAAAGGGTACAACCCAATTAGGGTTAGTACTTGTACCCAACTGTTTCATAGTTCATTCATTCCATTCTCACTTCTCGTCATGGTATCGAGCAGGTTCCCCAGTGGGAATGCTGCCTAGGGCCCACCACGAACTTTTTTTTCCTTCCCTGCCCGGAGCGCGCCTAGCTCCTAACCCGAGTAGCGCCTCGAGCCGCCTTAGTGGCCCCTTTTGGCCGCCCTTACTGCCCCTTGAGCCGCCATCTACGGCCACGCTTAGGCCCCACTACGGCCCCGCTTAGGCCCCGTCGGCCCTGCTACGACCTCGCTTAGGCCCCGCTACGGCCCCGCTACGGCCTCGCTACGGCCCCGTCGGCCCCGCTTAGGCCCCGCTGCCGCCCCGCTACGGCCCCGCTACGGCCTCGCTACGGCCGCGTCGGCCCCGCTTAGGCCCCGCTGCGGCCCCGCTACGGCCCCGCTACTGCCCCGTCGGCCCTGTCGGCCCCGCTTAGGCCCCGCTACGGCCCCGCTACGGCCTCGTCGGCCCCGTCGGCCCCGCTACGGCCCCGCTACGGCCCCGTCGGCCCTGCTACGTCCCCGCTTAGGCCCCGCTACGGCCCCGCTACGGCCCCGTCGGCCCTGCTTAGGCCCCGCTACGGCCCCGCTTAGGCCCCGCTACGGCTTGGTCGGCCCCATCGGCCCCGCTTAGGCCCCGCTACGGCCCCGCTTAGGCCCCGCTACGGCCCCGCTACGGCCCCGTCGGCCCCGTCGGCCCCGCTACGGCCCCGCTTAGGCCCCATCGGCCCCGCTACGGCCCCGCTTAGGCCCCGCTGCGGCCCCGCTACGGCCCCACTTCGGCCCTGTCGGCCCCTCTACGGCCCCACTTAGGCCCCACTTCGGCCCCGTCGCCACCGCGGCCCCGCCCACCCTTGCGGCCCGCCGCCACCTGCGACCTCGCCACCACCTGCGACCCCGGCTCCCAGTGCCCGCAACGCCAAGCAGCCGAACCGCCGGCCACCTGAGCCGCCCGACCTCCCAAGCCACCCAGCAGCCGAGCCGCCCAGCAGCCGAGCCGGCCAGCAGCCGAGCGGCCCTGCAGCCGAGTCGCCGGACAGCTGAGTCGCGGAGCAGCCCGATCGCTCCACCTACCTGGTAAGAGCACAGTCTCTACCACTGCACTGCCCTGCCTCCTACTGTTATGGCTTCCCCTAGCGTTCTCACCTTTGACGCTGAGGGTCGGACAGTGGACTTTGAGGTCTGGGTAGATGATCTGCAGCTTTTCCTGCAGTGCGATAGGGCAGACGGCCTCTCCCTGTTTGACCTCACTTCTGGTGCCTCCCCTGCCCCTGCTGCTGATGCTGACGCCACTGTTCGCTCACAGTGGGCCACACATGACGCTGCTGCTCGCCTTGCTGTGCGCCGCCACTTACCGACCAGTGAGCGTGCACAATTTAGCCAGTACAAGAGTGCTCAGACCTTGTACGACGCTGTAGTTGCACGCTACTCTTCCCCTGCCACTGCTGCACTGAGCCGCCTCATGCTACTGTACCTCTTCCCTGACCTTGCTGCCTTTCCTACTGTTGCTGACCTCATTACGCACCTCCGCACTAGTGACACTCGCTACCGCGCTGCGCTTCCTGCTGAGTTCTGCGCAAAGAACCCCCCCCCCCCCCCATGAACATCACCCTCTACTACATAGTCACCCGTCTCCTTGACTCTCTCCGTGTAGTCAGGGACCACTTCCTCTCTGTTTGCCCCACCACTCTCACCGTTGACCTCCTCGAGAAGGCCCTCCTAGCGAGCTATTAGAGCTAGTAGAGCTCTGATCAATGTGCTGCCTTGGACTTGAGGCCTGGGAGAGGTGCAATAACGGGAAACAGAAGAGAAAAACAACACTAGGGGGGAAATTATGATGGGCAAGGTGACGCGAATGAAGAGAAAGAGGGAGGGCGACGGGAAACGGGAGGGCGACGGGAAGGGAGGGCGTAGGAAACGGGAGGGCGACGGAAGAAGGAGGTCGACGGGAAACGGGAGGGCGACGGGAAACGGGGGGGCGACGGGAAACGCGAGGGCGACGGGAAACGGGAGGGCGACGGGAAACGGGAGGGCGACGGAAAACGGGAGGGCGACGGGAAACGGGAGGGCGGGAAACGCGAGGGCGACGGGAAAAGGGAGGGCGACGGAAGAAGGGAGGGCGACGGGAAACGGGAGGGCGACGGAAAACCGGAGGGCGACGGGAAACGCGAGGGCGACGGGAAACGGGAGGGCGACGGGAAAAGGGAGGGCGACGGGAAACGGGAGGGGGGCGGGAAACAGGAGGGCGACGGGAAACGGGAGGGCGACAGGAGAGAGGATAGGCGGCGGGAGAGAGGGTGTCGAGAATAGATGGAAAGACAGAAAAAACAAACAAACCAAACACAATAACAGAGTACGGAATGGGTCACGCTGACGCGATAGCAGAGGGAGAACGAGAGAGGCGACGGAGAAAGGAGGGCATACGTGATGGGAGAGTCGAAGGTCGCCGGGAGGGCTATTCGAGGCAAGCGAGAAGGGAGGATGGGAAGGGAGCAGAAAGAGAGAGGGCACTGGGAAGGGAGCGGAGAGAGAGAGCGCGACGGGAAGGGAGCGGAGAGAGAGCGCGATTCGAAGGGAGGAGCGAGAGAGAGGGTGGAGCGGAGAGAGAGAACGCGATGGGAAGGGAGGGGCGAGAGAGAGGGCGACGGGAAGGGCGCGGAGAGAGAGAGCGCGATGGGTAGGAGGGGCGAGAGAGAGGGCGACGGGAAGGGAGCGGAGAGAGAGATCGCGACGGGAAGGGAGGGGCGAGAGAGAGGGCGATGGGAAGGGAGCGGAGAGAGAGAGCGCGATGGGAAGGGAGGGGCGAGAGAGAGGGCGACGGGAAGGGAGCAGAGAGAGAGAGCGCGACGGGAAGGGAGGGGCGAGAGAGGGGGCGAGGGGAAGGGAGCGGAGAGAGAGAGCGCGACGGGAAGGGAGTGGAGAGAGAGGCCGACGGGAAGGGAGCGGAGAGAGAGCGCGATTCGAAGGAGGAGCGAGAGAGAGGGCGGAGCGGAGAGAGAGAGAGAGAGCGATGGGAAGGGAGGGGCGAGAGAGAGGGCGACGGGAAGGGCGCGGAGAGAGAGAGCCCAACGGGAAGGGAGGGGCGAGAGAGAGGGCGACGGGAAGGGAGCGGAGAGAGAGAGCGCGACGGGGCGATCGACGGGAGGGCGATCGGTAGGGAGGGGCGAGAGAGAGGCCGACGGGAGGAGAGGAGGGGAGAGAGGGCGACGAAGAGGGCGACGGGATGGGCGACGAGATGGCGACGTGACGCGCGACGGAAAGGGAGACGGGTGGGCGATTTGGCGAACTCGAGGATAGCATAGTGGGCGATGAGAGGGGTGAGAGGAATGGCGACGGGAATGGGGTTCTCTGTGATCGCGAGGAAAATATCACTACGCAGCAACGGCGACGAAGTATCACAAACAATCTAATGATAATTTCATTTCTATGCCGCATCAGCCTAATCCCTCGTCTCTGGCTATTCTACCGTATACTCCCGGACAAAACACCCCCCCATAATTGTACACCCCCGGGTAGCTTGTGCGGGGTGGGTGTTATGATAGACCTCGTTTCTACTATACCCCCCTTTTTGGCTGATTTTCTATAACACCCCCCTTTTCTTACGGATTCATTATTATAGTCGTTAACGAGTAGCTGCAATACGGAAGAATATCGTGTGAATTTCTCCCTCAATGAAATTTCGAGGTACATTCAAAGGCAATCTGCCGAGATTTGCCCCCTCCCACTATTTCTCTGTTGCCACGTGCAGGTGAATCTTCCGTTGCAAGTGGCAAGAGAGGTGTCACATGGCATTTTCGTGAGGGCGATGAAGTTCGAGGCCGAAACTGACATTCGCGCCTCAGGCAGTGATGCTAAAACGACCAGCAAAACACCCACATTGACTAATTAAAAAAACACTAACACTAAAATATGCCATATGTAAAGAACCGGGTATTATGTATTTTTTTCCTATGAGGAGACCCCCCCCATTTTTTCCCTGTATTTTTAGCTATACCCTAGGGTGTTATGTCCGGGAGAATACGGTATGCTAGGCAAGCCCCGTGAGTTAGGCAAGCTACGTGAATGGAGTTGAAGTAAGCATGTGTGGAACCCAGGCACAGCTTGAAAGTCGAAGTCGGCTCCAACCATCAAAACGCACAACAAACAACTGTCATGCAAATGTCGCATGCAGAAAATGCGAACGCGCGAGCACGATCTGATTTTTTTTTTTGGCGGGAACGAATCACGTGTGTTCAGTCTGTGGAAGGGCGATGCCCGGAACAGTGTTTTACACAGCCCATCGTCGTTCCAGTTTTGCCTCTTCCGAGCACGATTTCAAGTTGGATCCGCCTTCACTATTTTATATTTCGGTTTTAAGCAAGAATGCAGGTCAAGTATCTTAATTTTTACATACAACAGACAGGCTAGGGGCATCAGCTTAACCGGTTTCACTTGTACCATATATATAATACACGCTGTCCTCTCCACGTGTCCAAACAGTGTCTTGTAACCTGTTCTACATGAACAAGGTGGACATCTCAAGTCAAGACCAACAACTGAGGCGTTCAGTCAGCTTCTTGCCGTGGCGTGGCCATCAGTCTCTGACGGCTGGGCGGAAGCAGCAGGCAAAGGAGGCAGCCCCACGGTGCTTCAGCACCTGCTCCTCCGGTTCCTGCCACCAGTGCAATGTGGCATGTGACACAATCAAATAGTGAGTGAATGGAGCATGTGGAAGGAACACAAAGAGAGGCAGAGTGGATGCCTACATGACATTCATGAGGCATGGTACTCTTTACGTGATGTGAACTTATGAATGTTGTGATCTCATCTGCTTATGACTCCACCCACACACCTCCCTTTCTCTTACCGAGTCATCATCATCCTCATCAGTCCGCCTGGTCTCGTGCTCCCGTCTGCCACCGTGCTTTCGCTTCCCCCCTGCGTCAGCACCTCCCGCCGTGCTCCTTCCCTCATGGGGCAGGTGCAGGGAGGGCATGCACTGTGGCTGCTGCAAGCACTGCGGCCTGAAGTCCTCACTCTCTTGCCACTCGCCCTGCCGGTTCTGCACCCGCAGCCCCTGCAACACCTCCCCCTCCTCTTGCTCGCCACCCTCTTCCCAATCCCCAATCCTTTCCATACCAGGAACCGACTCCTCTGCACCTCTCAACCCATCCAAACCGCCACTTCTGCCAGCAGCAGAACTCTTTCCTGCTGCGCCCACTGCACCTGTCCTCGGGCCTTCACGGGTCGCTGAGGCGAGCTGAGAAGCTTCCCCAGCAGCTGGGGCAGCAGCACTGCCGATGGACACAGCAGGCCGCAGCCGAGCCCGAGCGGTCCCAGCAGCAGCGGCAGAGGTGGGGAGGATTGCAGGAGGGCGAGAGGAGGAGAGGGGAGGGCGGGAGGTGTTAGAGGAGCGGGAGAACTGCGTCAGAGCGTCTCTGCGACGCCGCCTCAGAAGAAATTCGTCCACTGGTGGCACTGCCAGTGCTGCTGCTACTGGCGCTACTGCTGGTGGTGATTCTGGTAATGCTGCTGGTGGTGCTGCTGGTGCTGCTGGTGCTGCTGGTGCTGCTGCTGGTGCTGCTGCTGCTGCTGCTTTTGCTGCTGGTGCTGCAAGCAGTGGATTACGTGTAGCAGAGGATTGCACATCAGGCACTTCTTGTTGCCGTGGCTGCTGCAGTGCCATATGCCGTTGTTGCTGCTCGTGCCGGGGCTGCTCTTGCTCTGCTGCTCGCCTCTGTGCCCTGTTCTCCGCTGCTGCTGCTGCTGCTTGCTGGCGCCAAGGCAGAGCTGCTGCTGAGTGCTGCTGTGGTGGGTCGAGCACAGAAGCAGGCACAGGGGCATCGAATGAGGCTAAAGGAGGTGGGGAGAGCGGAGCAGGGGGATGATTGGGAAGAGTGGCAGCAGCAACAGCAGTAGCAGCAGCAGCAGCCGCCGCTGCAGCACCAGCAGCCATTGCAGCAGACACAGAGGGAGCACTGCCACTCCCCTTGAGCATGACCCCTCCAGCTGCACTCTCTGACCCTTCCACCACCTCCACCCGTTCCTCCTCTGCCTCCCCCTGCCCCTCTCCCATCTGCAGCTCCTCTTCTGGTCTCCTCTCATCGCTGTTTCCCTTCACCTCCTCCTCCTCCCGAGGCTCATCCTCATTCTGCTCCTCCCCCTCTGCTCTCCCCAACGCCATCCCACCATCCACTCCGCCCAACGTATCCCCTGCGACCACGTCATCCTCCCTCACCCCAACCCGAGCGCTCTCAAGCTCATCCTTGCGCTCCACCCCTCTCGGATCACCGCTGCCCGTCTCCCTCTCCCCCACACCTTCCACTCCTTCCTCCGCCACATCTTCTGTCCCCCCAGTGCGTCTGCTGGCACTCCCACCGGCGCCTCGTGCAAAGAGACCAAACAGGCTCCTTCCAGGCAGCTTCCACTTGGCGTCTTCTCCAGAAGCAGCCGAGTCAGGAGCAGCAGCATCAGCAGCAGAGAGGTTGCAGGGAGAGGGTTCAGATGCTGTGGGGTCACAGGATGGGGCGTCAGGGTTCAGGATGGGAACAACAGCAGCGACCACGGCTGGAACTGCTGCTGGAATAATCCTCTCCTGCGGTATGCTTTCTTTCTGCTCCTCCTCTTCTGTCTCTTCCTCTTCCCTCCCCCCCTCCGCCTGTCGCTGCTCCTGCTGCACGGGCTGCGAGTAACCAGCAGCAGGCCGCTCAGCCACCACAAACTTATCCTCGCTCTCCTCCACCTCCACCTCCTCTGCCGCCATCCTCCCTCCCCCTAGCTGCTGGCCCAAGTCCTGCTGCTGCTGCCCATCCCTGCCAACATTCCGGCCAATATCCCTGCTGGTATCCCTGCCCTCTGCTTCTTCTCTTCCTATTCCACCTCCTGTCTCTCCTCCACTGTCTGCCAGGCTGCGTGCGCCAGCAGCACTGGCAGCGGCGAATGAAGGCCGAGCGGGCTGCAGGGAGAGGGAGCGGAGAGCGGAGCGGGGAGTGAGAGTGTGGAAGCCGCTTCGATGTGCTGTTGCACGCAGGTCAGCACGGGGAGAGGGTGAGCGCAGGCTAGCACGGGGGGAAGGAGAGCGCAAAGTGCCACGGGGAGAGGGCAGGTACAGGCCGGCACGGGGAGACGGCGACTGCATGGTATGAAGAGGCGTGTGAAAGCCGTCAGTGCCGCCCGGGCTGCTGAAGAAGCGCTGGTCAGAGCGCAGAGAGGTAGCAGACGGGGACTGGGCGCGCAGGGTGAAGTATTCCCGAGCAGAGTAGAGTGCTTCCGAGGCTGCAGAGGCAGGGGACTCGGGGGGAGAGAGGTGCGGCGTGGAGAGGGTCAGGGGGAACGGGGACGGGAAGGAGCGGGAGGTGAGGGAGAGGCGGGAGGGGGAGGGGGCGGAGGAAAAGGAGTAGGCGGGGGAGGGCGGAAAGGTGGGCGGGGTTTGGTAGCCGGCAATGGTGCTGGCTGTGTCATCAAAGGAGGAGGCAGCGTCATCGAAAGCAGAGGCAGTGCTGCGAAAAGAGGTGGTGCTTCGGAAGGAAGCGGAGCGCAGGGAGGAGGCGGAGCTGAAGCGATCCATGTGGGCGTCGTGATAGAGGTATGCAGAGGAGCTGTCAGAGGCACCGTCGTCCACCACATCCTCAATGTTCACTATGCCGCCCGTGCTGTCCATGCCACCCATGCCCCCCATGCCACCCATGCCACCCATGCCAGCCATGCCAGCCATTCTGTCACTGCCGCCCATGCCGTCAACACAGACTCTATCCTCCTCGGTGCGTTGCTCATCCGTGGCGCCTTCAATGGCGCCACCAGGCCCGTCAACACCCACTCTGCTCTCACCACCGCCAGTCGCCCGCACGCCTTCACCGCTCCCAGCGCTCCCAGTGCTGTCAGCATCGCCTGTGTTGGCAGAGCCCTCCTCAAATTGACTGCATGCTGCCACCCTTGCTGCCGCTGCTGCTACCACCGCTGCTGCGGCTGCTGCTGCGGTTCCTGCTACGGCTGCTGCTGCAGGTGGTGGTGATGCGGTTGATAGGGGTGGTGAGTTGGAGGAGGCATGCGGGAGAGTATCGTGAGTAAGCGGCAGGGGGGGCTCAGGAGGGTAGGAAAGTGCAGGGAATGAGGCGGAGGCAGCAACAGGTGGGGAGGAGGTGACAGGCGCACAACTGTCGCTGGCACTGGGGGCAGCAGCAGCAGGAGTGGTGGCAGCAACAGCAGCGAGGGAGGATGTCTGAGGAGGCAAGGAGGGCGGTTGGCTGTGCAGGCTGGGGAGGTGCTGCTGCTGCCCCCTTGCCTCCTCCCCCTCGCTCTCATCCTCCTTCTCTCCCTTTCCTAGATCTCCACGACCCTCTGACCCCCCTGAATCCCCTGATGCACCCCGTGCATCCGCGAATTCCTCGCTCCCACTGCTCTCCGTCTCCCCCCCCTCTCTCGCCGCCACTGCTACATCTGCAGCACGAGCAGCCAAGACGGGTATGGCAGGCCCTGATCCTGCCTGCACTGTAGCTGCTTCTGATGACCTCGCCTTATCCCCCACACACCTCTCCTCCTCCCCACTCTCCTCCTCGCTCTCCTCCTCTTCCTCTTCATCCGTTTCCTCTTCCTCCTCGTCCTCATCCTCTTCCCCAGCATAGCTATCATCGTCCTCTTCCTCCTCCTCTGAATCATCCTCCCCCTCATCATCAGCGTCCGCCCCCAAATCCACCTCCCCCACACCCACCTCCCCCACACCCACCTCCCCAGCATCCACCTCCACCATGCTCCCCTCCTTACTGCCATCTCGCACCACAGTCACACGCCACACCCCATCCAACCCCTTCCCTTTCAATTTAAAAGCCTCCTTAAGAACTGCCTCGATATCCCGCTGCAGCTGACCCACGTCCAGCTCCTCTCCTCCCAAATCAAGTTTCATGTCATCTTCCGGATCAATTTCCACTACACCATCCTCATCACCCTCCACGTCAGCTTCCACATCACCCTCCACGTCAGCTTCCACATCACCCTCCACGTCAGCTTCCACATCACCCTCCACGTCAGCTTCCACATCACCCTTCACGTCAGCTTCCTTGTCACTAGAGCTCGCTGCCACAGCCACCCCCTCCACCTCTGCACTCCCCTCCTCCCCATCTCTCCCTCCTTCCCCTTGCACCATCACCCCCACTTCCTCTCCTCCTCCCCTCCGCTCCCCTTCACTCCTCCCCTCTCTCTCCTCATCACTCCCACTAAGCACAGCCCTTGAAGCCTCCAGCGCTTTCCCCAGATCTTCCTGCAACAGCAATACAGCTGCCTCAGTCGTTGAAACATCCTCTTCGTCACGCCTTCCCTGCCTCGCTCCGCCTTCCTCCTCCTGCCCCGCTTCCCTCGCCTCCTCTCCTGCCCACCTCCCTGACTCCTCATCCACCCCCCCTTCGGAGTGATTCTCTAAAACCTCCTGTCTAACTGCCTCGCTCTCTGCCTCTTCCCGTGCCTCCCCCTCTGCCTCTGCCCTTGCCTCTCCCTCTCCAACTCCCTCTGCTTCTATCTCACTATCTATCTCTGCCACTGCATTTGCCTCTCCCTCATCCTCTGTCTCTTCCGCTCCCTCTGCCTGCGCCTCGCCCTCGTCCGCGACCGCTGGCTCTGCATCTGCCCTTGGTGCAAACTCTCCCTGCATTTCGGTTCCTTCTGTGCTGCTCAGCTGCTCCGGCTGAGGCTCTGTCCACTTGGGATCATGCTCTCTCCATTCAGCTTCACGCTCTGTGTGCACTGCAGCAGCCATCTCTCCCCCACTCTCACTCCCACCCTCGCCCCCAGTCTCTCTCCCACTCTCGTACTCACTCACAACGTCTCTCTCCCCTTCACTCTCATACTTACTTGCAGCCCCCTCACCCTCACTCACAAACTCACCCTCCTCACTCTCATACTTACTCTCAAATCCCTCACCCTCACTCACAACCTCCCCGAATTTTTCACTCTCATATTTACTCTCAACCCCCTCACCCTCACTCACACATTTTCCCTCTCTTTCACTTTCATATCTCCTCTCAACTCCCCCATCCTCACTCACATCCCCACTTGCAACCTCGCTCTCACCGTCACTCACAACCTCCCCCTCATCCTCACTCTCATGCCCACTACCCGCTTCACCTGCAGCAGCCCCACTATCACCTGCACTCTCTCTCTCCTCACCATCTGCACCCCCCCCTCCACCTGCACTCCTCACATCATCCTCACTACCACTAGCACCACCTGCATCACCAGTAGGGGCAACAGCAGCAGCAATTGCAACACCACCAGCGGCAGCGGCAGCAGCAGCACCAGCAGCGGCAGCAACAGTAGCAGCGCCAGCAGCAGGAGGGGGAGAAGGGCTGTCAGTTGGGGCAGCAATAGTATCAATACAACTGCCAGCAACGTCAGCCTGGGAGCCGGGTGCTTCGGGAGCGGGAGTTTCGGAGGGGGGGGCTTCAGAGGTGGAAGCCTCGGAAGAGGGAGGTTCGGAGGCAGGAGGTTCGGATATGAGAGATTCGAAAGCAGGTTCTTTGAAGGCGGGAGCTTCGGAGGTGGGAGCTTCAAAGGTGGGAGCTTCGGAGGTGGGAGCTTCGGAGGCAGGAGCTTCGGAGGTGGGAGGTTTGGAGGTGGGAGGTTCGGAGGTGGGAGCTTCGGAGGCGGAAGGTTCGGAGGTGGGAGGTTCGGAGGCAGGAGCGGGGGGTTGAGCAGAGCGCCAGGAGGGGCGCCAGGCCATGGCGAGAAGGGACGACCACCCCCACTGCTGCTGCTTCTGAGGGCCTGCTGCCAACGGGGGCGCCGTGTGGGGAGGCTCTGTGGGGGGAGGCTCTGTGGGGGGAGGCTCTGTGGGGGGAGGCTCTGTGGGGGGAGGCTCTGTGGGGGGAGGCTCTGTGGGGGGAGGCTCTGTGGGGGCAGGTTCTGTGGGGGGAGGCTCTGTGGGGGGAGGCAGTGTGGGGGGAGGCCCTGTGGGGGGAGGCCCTGTGGGGGGAGGCCCTGTGGGGGGAGGCTCTGTGGGGGGAGGCTCTGTGGGGGGAGGCTCTGTGGGGGAGGTAGCTGTTGGGGTGGTAGCCGTTGGGGTGGTAGCCGTTGGGGTGGTAGCCGTTGGGGAGGCTGTGAGCGGTGAAGGCGTGTGGGAGGTGGTGTGGGAAGGTGCAGTAGGGGCAGGCGTGGTGGTGGTGGTGGTGGCGAGGGGCAGCGGCGCTGCCTGCTTCTGATGCTTGGCTGCCACTGGTGGGGTGATTGGGGGGATTGGGGGAGGGGCGAAGGGCGAAGGGCGAGGGGGGAGGGGAGAGGGGCAAAGGGAGAGAGGAGAGGGGAGATGGGAAAGGGGAGTGGAGAGGGGAGGGATGAACACAATCGCAGGGCATTGGTGCAAATACAGACAACAGCACAGGCAATAGCAAGGTGCAAGTTGGCCCAGCGGCACTCACACTTGGCTTCAAACATGGACGCCAGACCCTTCACTCGCCCATCCCGCACCCCACCCGCCGCTGCTGCTGCAGCAGCAGGAGCGGGGGACGTGGCACGAGTGGAGAGGTCATCAGGGCTAGTGTGGACAGGGATAGGGGCCGCCACAAAGGCTGTAGAGCCTTTCTGCTCCTGCCCTTGCTCCCCTCTGTTGCCCTCCTTCCATTCATCCTCCTCTTCCTCCACTCCCTCTCCCCCCTCCTCGACCTCCTCTACCTCCTCTCCCTCCCCTCCTTCCTCTCCCTCCTCTCCCTCCTCCCTCTCTTTCTCCTCTTCCACTTCACCGGAGCACACTGTCCGCAGGCCCAATCCAGCCACTGCAGGGGTACCTGCGCTGCTGGCGGCATCAGAGGAAAATTCCACGTGAGCATCATCTGCCACGTCCGCAAGACCTGCCACGTCACACCCAGCTGCCGATGCTCTCGCCGGTCCCGTACCTGACATATTCTCCCCATCTGAAGCAGAAGTAGTGGTACCAATGGCAGATGCAGCGGTGGCAGCAGCAGGGACAGCAGCAGCAGCGGTGGCAGCAGCAGCGGAGGCAGCAAGAGCAGAGGAGGCAGAGAGCGCAAAGCGGTGGCGGTGGGGGGAGATGGAGCGAGGCACGCCAGGGGGTTGCTGGGGGGAACGGGGAGGTGACGGCGAGAGAGCAGACATTTGCTGCGGGGAGAGAGGGGGAGAGTCCACCCTCCTTGCTGCTGCCTGTTGCTGCTGCTGCTTTTTTAGATCCGGGGACATTGGAGGGGAGGAGAAGAGCGCAAGGTACTGCTTGGAACGCAGGGGAGACAGGGGCCGAGGAGAGAGCGGGAGGGGAGGAGGGGCCTTGGGGCGGAAGAGAGGCATGTGGGGAGCAGATTCAGCAGAGACCGCTGGTGTCATGCTGCTTGCAACACTTGCACCCTCACTTGCACTGCTGCTGCTGCCACTGCTAGCATGGGCGATGGTGGTGCTGAAAGTAAGCTCAGCCTCCTCAATGCCACTGCCCATCCCCATGCCGCTGCCATCACCAGCTGCAGTGGCAACCATTGGCCTGGGCAATGTTGCTGAGGCAGGTGCTAACACGCCCGGTTCCACCAACAGAGAAGGAGCCTCCAAGGAGGTCGCAAGTGGTGTCACCGTCGCTGCTGTTCCCGTGGTGGCACCATCTGGTACCGCCACCATGGCAGGCATACTGCTCCCCTTCTCATCGCCCTCCCCACTCCTCTCACTTCCATTCACTCGCCCCTCTGCCCTGTCGGACTGGTCTGTCCCACTCTTCTCCTCCCTTCCCTCCACTGCCTCCCTACCGTCTGATTCCTCCCTCCTACCCTCCACTTCAGGCGAGCTGCCGCCCGCACCAGCCACTGCAGCAGCAAAAACCGCTGCTGCTGCTCCCACTGCCGCTGTGCCGGCAACCGCAACAGCAGGGGCAGCAGGGACAGCAGATGCAGGGGGTGCAAGAGAGGCAGTAGGCAGTGCTTCATCTCCCCCTCTGTCACCGCCTTCTCCTGTGTCTGCTGTACACACCACTGCTGCCCCTGCCCCTGCCACTGTGCCATCAGCAGCAGCAGCAGCAGCAGCAGCAGCAGCAGCAGCAGCAGCAGGCAGGGCTCCCTCTCCCTTGCTTCCACCTCTTTCCTCTCCCTTGCTTCCACCTCTTTCCTCTCCTGTGTCGGCAGGCTCACAGGCAGGCACAGCAGCCAACAGCAGGGTGGCAGCAGGGTCAACGGGGTGAATGGAATCAACAGGACCAATAGGATCGATGGGGTCAACCGGGCCAGCAAAGTTGAAGGAGTCAACAGGGCAAACAGGGTCAACAGAGTGAGCATCACTGTTGCTGCTGCTTCTTGCTGCTGCTGTTGAGGATGATTCATCTTCAGGTGATTCATCTTCAGGTGATTCATCTTCAGATTCATTTTCAGGTGATTCATCCTCAGGTGATTTTTCTCCTGGCGTTTGGCCAGGAGAGAACAATATGAGGGGTGATTCTGCCGTGCTGCTGCTGCCACTGTCGCCGCCGCAGCTGCTACTGCTGCTGCTCGCCATGCCATCACTGCTAGTGAGCGCTTGTTTCTCAGGCTGAGCAGGCGAGGGGGGAGAGATAGGCAGAGGAAGAGGCGGAGGAGGAGGGAGAGCCTTTGACGCTGGCTGCTGAGGCTCCAGCACAGGGAGTGGTGTGAGTATAGGCCGACGCGTAGCCGAGGGGATCCCACCTGAAGATTCACCTGAAGGTTCACCTGGTACTTTTTCAGAATCACTTGCAGGGTTTAAAGACGGTGGAAAGTCCAGCACAAGAAAAGGTGGCTGGGTGGGGAAAGGGTGGTCGGAATCCGCTGCAGAGGAGGCAGCAGCAGCAGGTGTGCCTGTGACAATGGGTGAGGAGGAGGAGGTGGAGGAGGAGGAGGGTAGGTAGCGGTCCGAGAGAAAGGATGGGAGTGAGAAGGTCTGGGAGGGAGGAGGAGCGGAGGAGAGTGAGGGAGAGCACGGAGGGGAGGAGGACGGGGAGAAGGCGGAGCGGGTGCGAGGGGAGGCGGAGGGGGAGAGGATGGGGAAGGCGCGGGGGGAGTAGGAGGTGCCTTCCGAGGCAGCTGCTACCACTGTGAGGGGGCGGAGGGCGCGGGGGCGCGAAGAGGGGGAGGGCATTGGGGGGGAAGGGGGGCGCCGGCGAGATAGAGTGCGAAGGTTGGAGGGGCGGGGGGAGGGAGAGGGGGAGAGCGGGGGGTGGGGAAAGGAGGGGGAAGAGGGACGGGGGAGGGAAGGGGAAGAGGGGCGGGAACGGGGGCTGGAGGGAGGGAAAGGGCGGGGCAGGGATGGGGGTTTGGAGGAAGGGGAAGGGGGAAAGGGGGAATGGCGGGGGGATGGGGCGGGACAGGAGGCAGAGGAGGGAAAGGCAGGGCGGGGAGGTGAGGAAGGACGGACAGGGAGAGAAGGAATGGAGAAGGGAGCGGCAGAGAATACGGGGTGTGACATGGCAGAGGTGAGAGATGGCTGCTGGTGAGGCGGGTCAGACGGTAATGTAATGGCAGGCAGGGGAGACAAGGAAAGGGCAGCAGAAGGGGTAGAGGATGGGGCTAAGGAAGGAGCAGAGGAAGGAGCGGGCGTGGCAGCTGCTTCTGGTACTGCTGTTCTTAATGGTGCCACAACTGCCGGTGATTCTTCTTCTACTGTCACTGCTTCTGTTGTCACTGCTGCTGCTGCTGCCACTGCTGCTGTTGCCACTGCTGCTGCTGGCACAACTGTTGTTGCCGCTGCTGCCACTGGCACTGCTGCTGCAGAAGCAGATGGTTCCGGGTGGGCGGAGAAAGGCAGTGCGGCGGGCACGGGGTGGGGCGAGGGAGAGGGAGAGGGCGAGGTGGAGCAGGAGGAGGGCGAGGAGAGAGTGGCGATGACAGGCGGATCGCCTGCTCTCTCGCGCTCCTCCATGTGGCGGTCGAAGATAGACGCCAGTGAGGCCAGGGCGGTGTCGGTGTGAGCTGGCAGGGGCGATGGTGATGCTGCTGCTCGTTGCACCACATGCTCACACACACACGCGCCCAGACACACACACACACACACACACACACACACACACACACACACACACACAATGCGCGCGCGCGCACACACACACACGCACACAAATAGACACACACATATCGGCACACACATATAGACACACACATACACACACACACACAGACACACACAGACACACACACACACACACACACACACACACACACACACACACACACAAATCATGCAGGTGGCGTCATGAAGGACATAATGATACAAAACAGGTTCCAGGACAACGGAAGGAGGCAAGCTGAAGTGGAACCAATGGGGGAAGTGGAAGTGTGGGAGGATAAGAGGTGAAGGGACGAGGGAGATCGCATTGGAGGAGCGAGAGGGCCGTGGGCAATAGACAAGGCATTGCTTACGTTGTGAGGTGACTGGAGTGGAGGCTCCTGAGGCACCGTCCGCCTGCAATGGCGGCGAGCAAGGGCAGTGAGGGACAGGAGGAGGGAGATGTGGCAGGAGCAGGGAGAAAACACAAGGCTATGAGAGGGGGCAGGATAGTCGCGCGGAACAGCGAAGGGCGTGTGATGAAGGGGGAGGGTGGTGGGGGAAGAGTGGTGAACGGAAGGGAAGGGGGATGAGGGTGGTGGAGGGTGGTAGAGAGGGTGGTAAGAGAGGGTGGTAAGAGAGGGTGGTAAGAGAGGGTGGTAAGAGAGGGTGGTAAGAGAGGGTGATAGAGAAGGAGCCCACCCCAAAGAGCATGGAGTGCACCGAGTCCTCAATCAGGCAATCCACTCGCTCGCCTCCCTGCCCGCCCTGCTCTGCCTCCTGCTGCCCCGCCTGCTCTGCCTCCTGCATTGCCACTCCTGCCAGCAGGTCTCCAGCTGCAGCATCCTCTGTGTGGGCTTTGGCAGCGCTGGGGGCATCACAGTCACGCCCATCAAGAGCATCGTGATCGAGAGCAGTCGAGTCGGCAGAGTCAACAGAGTCAGCAGATTCAGCAGAGTCAGCACGCCAGAAATCCACAGTGGGGGGGGAGGAATCGCCGAGGGCGCCTGCAGCCGTTGCAGAGACACTCCCCCACCCGCCAGCAGCAGCAGCAGCGGCAGCACTGGCAGCGCTGGGGGCAGCGAACCCGAAGGTTGGTGAATCCGGGGTGAATGTGGGCGAGTCCGTGCTCAGGTCACCCAGAACGGCAGCAGCAGCGGCTGTGGCAGCAACAGAAGTGGGGCTGGCAATGGCAGGAGTACCAGTGAGCCCAAAGGTGGGGGAGTCAGGAACTAAAGTGGGGGACCCAGCATCACTGATGCGAGGAGAGGACGAGGCGGGGGAATGAGGGGAGATGGGGGTGGGGGAAGGAGGGTAGGCGGAGTTTGGGTGATGGGTGGAGCTCTTGTCTTGAGGGAGAGAGGAGATGGCAGCAGATGCAGCAGCACCGACAACGGGAGAGCCGATGGATGGGGATGCCGCATCGAGGGAGAGCGATGGAGATGCAGCATTGGTTGAGAGGGATGGGCATGTAACATCCACGTTAAAGAGTGACTCGCTGTGAGAAGCAGCTTCGGTACTTGGGAAGGAGGAGATGCCAGTAGTAAAAGCGTGTGAGGTGTCGGCGTCTTCTGATTGGTCTGCTGGCTGCCAGGTGGGCAGCTGGGAGGAAAGGGCGAATGGGGATGGAAGGACAGTGGGGAGAATGAGGGATGGAAAGGGGTCAACTGGCAATTTGCGTAGGCTGTCAGGGAGCAGAATAAACGGATGGACGAGCGATGGGAGCAATAGCCAGGGGCAACTTGAGACTCGGAGAGGAGAGTGGCAAAAGGAAGACTGTTACACGTGCGCAGGGTGTAACGGCCAGCCACCGACCATTGCAAGCACATCCAGTACTAGCGGTCTGCTCGCATTGCTTGCAATGCGGGTGAGCTTATAAAGTAAATAGAGTGTACGAGACCAGAAGCGGCAATGAGGGAGCAAAGGGGCGGCGGGCAGGTCCAGTCCCCACACTCACCTTGTCAGCTGATTGCAGAGGCTCCAGTGCCCCGGGCACCACTCCTGCTGCTGCTGCCGCTGTTGCTCCTGCTGCTGCTGCCGCTGCTCCTGCGCCCGCCACTGCTGCTGCTCCTGCTGTGCTGCGCCTATCATGCCTCGAGTCATCCTCTGCCGGCACCCGCCTCTCTACATGCCCCACTTGCTGTGCACCCCCTCCGCATTCAACCTGCCCCTCCTCCTGTCCCACCCACTCCTCGCCCTCTTTACCAGGTCTCTGGGAAACCACACCACCATCGCCCTCACCCGCCTCAACCCCCTCTGCACTCCCCTCATGTCGAACCAACTCTCCCTCTTTACTCTCCCCCTTCTCTCCTTCCTCTCCCTTCTCTTCATTCTCCCCCTTCTCTCCTGCCCCTCCCTCCTCTTCATTCGCTCCCTTCTTTCCCTCCTCTCCCTCCTCTTCACTCTCCCCCTTCCCTGCATGCTCTCCCTTCTCTTCACTCTCCCCCTGCTCTCCCGCCCCTCCCTCCTCTACACTCTCCGCCCTCTCTCCCTCTCCTTCACTCTTCCCCACCTCGCTCTCGCCAACCCTCAAGACAGCTGCTGCAGGAGGAGGAGGGGGAGGGAGGGCAGGCGGAATGCTGGAGACAGCAATTCCAAAGGTGGGAAACTCCGGAATGAATGCTGGGGAATCAGGAGCAGGCGAAGCACTCCCTTCCTTCTCTACCTCTTGCTTCTTCTCACTCCCCTCCTCCGCCTGTAGCACCGCCTCACCGCTCTCAATATACTGTTCCACCTGCCGTCTCTCACTTGCCCTTGAATTTTCTGTCACATGCCTCTCACTCCCTGCCTCCTCTCCCTTGCTCCACACACCATTCCCCCCTGCATGCTCATCCCTTGAATCCTCCTCCTCATATTTCTCTCTTTCCTCCACCTCACACTCCCCAATCTCTCCATCCACTTCACTCACCTTGCCTTCATCCTCTTCTTTCCGCGTTTTACTCTCCCTCTCCCCTCCCACTTCCCCTTTCCCTTCACTCTCTTTCTCCAGTCCCTCCCCTTTCCTCCCATCTCCCTCGTCGTCCCTCCCCTCTCCCTCCTTCCTCCCCTCTCCCACCTCTTCTCTCCCCTCTCTTTCCTCTTCCCTCCCTTCTCCCTCCTCCCTCTCTCCACCTTCTCCTTCTGCACTTCCTTCTTCCCTCTCCTCCATTTCTCCCTCTTCCCGATCCCCTTCACTCTCCGACCCCTCTCTCCCTCCCCTTGCTGCCTCGGCCCCCATCTCCTCCCTATCCCCCTCCCGCAACTCCAGTGCATCTCCAACCGGAGACAGCCTTCCCCCTCGCTCAACCGCATCCTCAACACGTGCTGTGGCGCCATCACCTATCGAGCTGTCCGCCCCACCACCCAGAGAACCATCAGCACGCTGCATCGCCTCCATCACACTCGCTGTGCTCTCACCAACCACCAAGCTCTCCCCCTCACCACCCACAGGGCCGTCCCAACCCACCCCCGCTTCTCTCTCCAGTTTGACTTCAAGGTCATTCCGTCGCTCCTCATCAGTCCTATGCTCCGCCCTGCCTCCCACCTGCGCACCACCTGCCTCACCCTCTGCTCTTCCCCCCACCTGCGCCTCACCCTCCACCCTTCCCCCCACGTGCGCCCCACCCTCCGCCATGTTCCCCACGTGTGTCCCACCAACCCCGCCCTCCGCCTTCCCCCCCATGTGCGAGCGCAGGAACGTGACGAACTGCAGCTTCCTCGCCGCCCGCTGCATGCGCTGCCGCGCGTTCGGACTCACACCGCTCTTGGGCGTCGTGGGGGGGCTGAGGGGGGTGTGGGGCGCGTGCGGGGCGTGGGGGACGTGGCTGTGGGGGGCGTGGGGCCTGGCCAGAATGGGAAGAACAGAGGCAGCAGCTGCAGCAGTGGAAGCAGCAGCTGCAGCAGCCACAGCGGCAGCAGCAGGCGATACCGGTTGTGCGGTTGTATGCCCCTCCACCCCCACCTCTCTGCCTGACACCCCCACCCCGTCATGCCTCTCCATCTCCCCACCCTCCCGGTCCACGCCCAGCCCAGCAAGCTCCCCCTCCACAAACATGTCCTGCACCGCCTCCCTCTCTTCAGCACTCCCCACTGCCAGCCACCCTGCATCACTCCCCACTACCGCCCTCAGCCCCTCAGTCCTTACTGCGTCCTTCTCCCCCTCAATCTTCACTGGCCCACTTTCTTCCTCCACGCCCAGCCCAGCAAGCTCCCCCTCTACAAACATATCCTGCACTGCCGCCTTCCCTCCACCACTCGCCACTGCTGCCCCCACTCCCTCATTCTCCATTTTCCCACTCCCTTCCTCCACGCCTAGAGCAACCAGCTCCCCCGCCACAAACATGTCCTGCCCTGCCGCCCTCTCCCCTGCCCTCTTCTCTCCCTCGCTCTCCACTTTCACACCCCCTTCCTCCTTCACGCCCAGGGCAACCAGCTCGCCCTCCACAAACATGTCCTGCTTCTCGCCTCTCTCACTCTCACTCGCCGCTCGCATTCTCACTCCCTCGTGCTGCACCGCCCATTCCTCTCCATCCCTCTCCACTGTCCCACTCCCGTCCTCCACCCCCAGGCCAGAAAGTTCCCCCGCCACAAACATGTCCTGCCCTGGCCCCCTTACTGCATTTCCCTCCTCCACTGCCGTACCCACTCCCTGATTCTTTACTGCCCGCCTCTCTTCATCCCTCTCTACCGCCCTGCTTTGTACTTCCATGCCCAGGGTAATCAGTTCCCCGCCCACAAACATGTCCTGCATTGCGGTGCTCCCTTCATCACTCCCCACTGCCGCCCTCACTCTATCACCCGTCCCTACTGCCCATACCCCTTCACTCGCATGTGCCATCTTTTCCCCCTCGCTCTCCACTTCCCTGCTCACTTCCGCTGCACCCAGAGCAACTAACTCGTCCGCCACAAACATATCCTGCACTGCCGCCTTCCCTCCATCACCCTCCACTGCAGCCGCCCGCACTCCCTCGCTCTCCACTTCCCTGCTCCCTTTCTGCACCTCCAGAGCAGCCACCTCGTCCGCCACAAACATATCCTGCACTGCCACCCTCGCTGCATCACCCTGCAATGCCGCCCCCACTCCCTCATTCGTTGCCGACCCCTTCTCTCCCTCACTCTCCTCCACTTCCCCACTCCCTTCCTCCTCCTCGCCCACAGCCGCCAGTTCGTCTGCCACAAACATGTCCTGCACTGCAGCTGCCGCCCTCCCTTTATCACTCTCCACTGCCGCCCTCGTTACTTTACCCCCCACTGCTGTCCCCACTCCCTCACTCTCCACCACCTCAATCCCCTCCTCCACGCCCTCAGCCGCCAGCTCCTCTGCTACAAACATGTCCTGCACTGCCCCCGCACCCTCCCTACCCCCGTTCCTCCCCCTATGCTGCTCCCCCTCACCCGCTGCATCCACAGCTGCAACCAGGCCACGAGCACTCTCACCATCGCCGTCATCGTCGTCCCAGGGAGCCTGCAGGGCGGGTCTGCTGTGCGGCGCAGCAGCAAAGACTGGACTCAGCACTTCCAGCACTGCTGCACTCTCTGGTACTTCAGCCCTGCAGGTGGCATGGCTGGCAGCTGGAGTGGCATGAACGTCAAATTGAGTTGAGCTGCCATGCTCACACTCACCGTCCTCCTCGCTGCTCTCCTCCCCGTGTGCTTCACCTGCCTGTTCCAACTCCGGCCCTTCACCTGCCTGTTCCAGTTCTTGCCCTTCCTCAACACCTGATGCAGCAGCAGAGGCAGCCCAGGAAGTATCAGGTGCAGCATCAGCAGCAGCAGCAGCATCAGCATCAGCAGCAGCAGCAGCAGCAGCAGCACCAGCAGCAGCAGCAGCATCAGCAACAGCACCAGCACCAGCAGCAGCATCAGCATCAGCATCAGCACCAGCACCAGCATCAGCATCAGCACCAGCAGCAGCATCAGCATCAGCACCAGCAGCAGCAGCAAAATCAGCACCAACAGCAGCAGCAGCAGCAGCAGCAGCATCAGCATCAGCACCAGCATAAGCACCAGCAGCAGCATCAGCATCGGCATCAGCCGCAGCAGCTGCCGCAGCAGCAGTAACAACAGCTGCAGCGGCGGCAGCAACAGCATCAGCAGCAGCAGCGGCATCAACAGCAGCAGCAGCAACAGCATCAACCAGCCTCCTTACATGTTCTCCATGACTATCAGTCTCACTCTCATCCTCGCTCACATTCTCACTCTCACTCTCACTCCCAGTCTCACTCCCACCGTCCGTCTCACCCCACCCGCTATTGTGCCCCCCACCTTCCTTCTCCTGTTCAATCATCTCCCCTGCATCCCCTTGTCTCTCTCCACTTCCCTCACTCCCACTCTCCTCCTTCTTGCTTTCAATCCCACTCTCTTCTCTCTCACTCTCATTCGCACTCTCCTCTCTCTCACTCTGACTCTCGCTTTCTTCACTCACACTCCCATTCTCACTCTCACTCTCTACACTCTCACTCTCACTCTCCTCACTCTCACGTCCCTCACTCTGGCCCAACTTACTCGCACTCTCCTTGTCCTTAATCTCCCCACCCTTGGTCTCCTCGCTCTCACGCCCCTCACCCTGTCCCTGCCCCACACCACCCACAGAAGCAGCCACCAGTGCAGCTGGCGCTGCTGCTGCATCATCATCCAAGCACCGCTCAGAACTGCACTCTACCTGCGCCTCCATTACGTTCTCACCTCTGTATTCACTCTCACTATCACGCCCTTCACTCTGTTCCTCACCCACACCACCCACGGCAGCAGCCGCCGGTGCAGCTTGCGCTGCCACTTCATCGTCATCTAAGCACCCCTCCGTACCGCACTTTACCTGCCCCTCCACTCCGTCCTCATCGTCGCTGTCACTCTCACTCTCGCTCCCCTCACTCTGTCCCTGCCCCTTACCACCCACAGCAGCAGCCATCGATCCAGAAGGGGGAGCTGAGCTCTCCATACCATCCAACGTCCCCTCCTGCCCATGCTCCACCAGCACTTCACTCTCACTCTCACTCCCACTCTCACTCTCACTCTCACTTTCAGTCCCCCTCTCACTCTCCCTCTCACTCTCACTTCCACTCTCCTCACTCTCACTTCCCTCACTCTTGCTCAACATACTCCCACTCTCCTTATTCTCAATCTCCGGAACCTTAGTCTCCTCAGTTTCACTCTCCCTCTCCCTCTCCCTCTCACCTTCCATCTCACTCTCACTTTCACTCCCCTCACTCTGTTCCTGCTCCACACCACACAAAGCAACCATCGGTGCAGCTGCTGCTGTGATTCCAACACCGTTCAAGAGCCCCTCCCCCTCCTTCCCATGCTCCACCTTCCCGTCCCCTTCTTCCACACTCTCAATATCACTCTCACTCTCACTCTCACCCTCGCTCCCCTCACTCTGTTCCTGCTCCACACCACCCACAGCAGCAGCCACCAGTGCAGCTGGCGCTGTCGCTTCAACACCCTTTAAGGACCCCTCCTCATACTCCACCTGCCCTTCCTGCCCCTCCTCATACTCCACCTGCCCTTCCTGCCCCTCCTCTCTCTCACCCTCAACCCCACTCTCACTCTCCTCACTCTCGCTCTCGCTCTCGCTCCCCTCTCTCTGTTCCTGATCCCCACCCACCGCTGCAGCTGGTGTGGTCGCTCCAGCACCCTTTAAGGTCCCCTCTTTCTCATGCTCTACCTGCCCTTCCTTCCCCTCCTCTCCCTCACTCTCACTCTCACTCTCCTCACTCTCACTTCCCTCACTCCCGCTCAACTTACTTCCACTCTCTTTATTCTCAATCTCCCCAACCTTAGTCTCCTCATTCTCACTCTCGCTCTCACTCCCACTATCCCTCTCAGTACCCTCACTCTCACTCTCACTCCCCCCACTCTCTTCCCGCTCCACACCACCCACTCCACCCATCGGTGCAGCCACTGTTGTGGCGTCAACATCAGCCCAAGGCTCTTCCTCCTGCTTTCCATGCTCCACCTTCCCTTCCCCTCCCTCCGCACTCTTATTCTCACTCTTACTCCCAGACCCCTCACTCTCACTGCCCCCACCCTCTTCCCCCTCCACAACACCCACAGCAGCCTTCACCGGTGGTGCTGCTTCAACACCCTTCAAACACCCCTCTCTCTCACACTCTACTTGCCCTTCCATTCCCTCGTCCCTCTCACTCTCACCCTCCCTCTCACTCTCACTCTCTCCCTGAGTCCCCTCATTGTCACTCTCTCCCTCACTCCCCTCACTCTCACCTTCTTTCTCCCTCTCCTTTTCCTCACCCTCACTCTCACTCTCACTGCTCTCACTCTCACTGCTCTCACTCTCACTGCGTTCACTCTCACTCTGTATCTGCGCACCAGCACCACCCACAGCAACCCTCACTCCAGTCGCTGTTGCCTCGTTCCCGCCACCCACGGGTTCCACCCACTGCTCCTCCCTCTCCTCCCTCTCCTCCCTCTCCTCCCTCTCCTCCCTCTCCTCCCTTTCCTCCCTCTCCTCCCTCTCCTCCCTCTCCTCCCTCTCCTCCCTCTCCTCCCTCTCCTCCCTTTCCTCCCTCTCCTCCCTCTCCTCCCTCTCCTCCCTCTCCTCCTTTTCCTCCCTCTCCTCCCTCTCCTCCCTCTCCTCCCTCTCCTCCCTCTCCTCCCTCTCCTCCCTCTCCCCCCTCTCCTCACTCTCCGTCCCTCCCTCCTCGACTTTCTCCCCTGCCTCCTCACTCTCCTGCTGTTCCTCCTCGAGTCTACCCCCTCTCTCCTCACCCTCTCCCCTCCTTTCCTCACACCCGTCCCTGACACTGCCACCCCCTGCCCTGCTGTTCTCACTATCGTTTGTCCTAGAATTCCCCCCTTCCTCACCACCACCACCATCAGCACCAATACTAGCACCAACCAGACCACCTAAAGCACCAGGGGCTCTAGTACTCTCTACCTTCTCCCCTCCTTCCTCCCCTCTCTCCTCATCGCCCGCCTCCCCTTTCCCCGCCGCGCCCTGTGCTTCTGTCTCCTCCTCTTGCTCCGTCCGTTCATCGTCCTCGCTTTCCTCCTCTTCCTCTCGTTCCTCCCCCGCAGCCAGCTCTCTCCCACCCTTCTCGGCATCAAGCCCTGCCCGCCCGTCCCCATCCACTGCTCCCTCACTCTCCCCACACCCTTCATGCCCCCCGTCTTGCTCCCTTTGCTCCCTTCTCTCACTCTCGGTTTCACTCTCACTCTCACTCTTACTCTTAATTTTACTCTCACTTTCACTCTTTGTTTCATTCTCACTCCCACTCTCGGTTTCACTCTCACTCCCACTCTCGGTTTCACTCTCACTCTCGCTCTTATTTTCCCTCTCACTGTCATTCTTACCCTTACTCTTACTCTTATTCTTACTATCACTCTCACTCTCACCCTCACTCTCACTCTCACTCGTACTCGTACTCTTACTCTTATTCTCACTTTCACTCTCACTCTCACTCTCACTCCCACTCTTACTTGTACTCTTACTCTTACTCTTACTCTTACTCTTACTCTCACTCTCAATTTCACTCCCACTCTCACTCTCACTCTCACCCTCACTCTCCCTCTCCCTCGTACCCTTAATCTTACTCTCACTCTCATTCCTAGTTTCACTCTCACTCTCACTCTTATTTTCACTTTCACTCTCATGCTTAATCTTACTCTTACTCTCATTGTCACTCTCACCCTCACTCTCACTCTCACTCTCACTCTTGCTCTTACTCTCAATCTTACTCTTAACCTTAGCCTCACTCTCACTCTCACCCTCACTCTCACTGTCACTGTCACTCTTACTCTTGATCTTACTCTTACTCTTACTCCCACTATCACTCTCACTACTTCCCACCTCACTTTCAGCATCCGTCATACTAGTCTCGTCACTCTCACTGTCCTCACTACTAGCTTCCTCACTACCAGCGTCCTCACTATTGGCTCCCTCAAGCAGCCCACTGCCATCGCTATGAGCCTCAACGTTCCCTCTATTCTCGTTACTAGCTTGCTCGCTGCTGCCACTATCATCGCTATCCACCTTCTCGTGTTCACCTAGCTCTGTTTTGCAACTTCTCCATATATCCTCGCTATCAGAGTCATCCGTATTTGGATTATAAACATTATCCATCCCCATACCATCCCGTAACACCCCACCATCCCGCATCACCCCACCATCCTGCGCCACCACCCCCACACCCCCATCCCGTAGCCCACCCCCACCGTCGCCCCACTGCGCTGCTCGGAACGCAAAGTCACTGTCATGGTCAGCCGCTCCCTTCCCTTGGCCCCTGCCCTCCACGCTCCTGCTCCGCGCATCACCACTGCTCGCCCCTCTTTCCAAAGCACGCTCCTCATCTTCTTCCCCTTCCCCATTCCTCACGCCTTCCCGTTCCGCCTCCCCTGCTTCCTCTTTCCTCCCTTCCTCTGCTTCCCGCTCGTCTCCCTCCCCTGCGCGCTCCTGTCCCCCCCAGCCCTGCGCCTCTCCCATGCCCCCTCCTTCATTCTCCCCGCCTGCTGCCTTCTCCTCACCGCCCGCTCTTCCCTCCCCCTGCTTCGTCCCATCCCCTTCCCCCGTCCCCTCCCCTCCCTTCCCCTTACCGCCGTCCCCCCACATCCTGCCTCCCTTCCACGCGAACGGGGACAGCAAGCTCAGCCCGCCCGCTCTACCTGCACCATCCTGCCCCTTGCCCGCCTCCCCCTTCCCCTCTTCCGCCACGCCCGCCTCCCCCCCGCCTGCGCCCAGCAGCAGGCCCGCCCACCCGCCCAGCCAGCTGGGGGACGCGGGGGCGGACTTGGGCGTTCCGAGGGCGCCTGCTGCCGCTGCTGCTGTCCCGTCACGCGCTTGCTCTTTCGCTTGACCTTGCGCCCGCGCCTCTTGCGCCCCCGCGAGCACATCACTCCGCGCAGCCTCGCCCCTGGCACCGACTGCGCCCACCTCGCTCCCTTCCTCCCCCACCCTAGCCTCACTACCTAAACCCGCCCCACTCCGCCGGCTCTCTTCCCCCGCGCCACCGCTATCACGCAGCTCTGCGCCTGTTCCCCCGTCTCCGCCGACCCTCCTCACCACTGACCTTTCGGCAGGTCCGACTGCGGCGCCCCCGCCTGGACTCCCCTTCCCCAGCCGCAAGGGCCTGAGCGCCAATCCCGCCTCCCCGCCCCCACCCTCTACAAGCGCGCCAAGCCCCCCAATCGCGCTTCTGCGCGGACTGCCCAGGGGACTGGCGGGCCTGGCGGCGGGGGCGGGCGATCCTAAGGAGGAAGTATCGGGAGGGGAGAGCACTCCGGAGCGGTGGGAGAAGCTGCGGTGCCCCTGCCGCACTCGACGCGCGCTTCCGCTTCCGCCTGCGCCGCCCTCCCCGCCGCTGCTGCTCTCCCCGTCGAAGTCGTAGCTCATGTGCAGCCGGCGCCGGCTGATTTGCGCGGACGCGGACGACGGGGAGAACGGCGGAGGCGTGGGGGAGAAAGGGGAAAGCGCGGGGGATAAAGGGGAAGGCGAGGGGGAAAGCGACGGGGAGGGGGAGGTGGCAGCCCCGTCGTCTGTCGCGTCTGTTCCGCCCTTGCCGCCGCGGTCGGCGCTCGTCGTGATGCGCAGCATTGCGACGCGCCCCTAAACGATTCGACCTTGCGTTAGGAACGCTTGATTTTAATGCGTTCGTAGCACGACGCGGCACGCAAACCAGCTCTTTTTGTCCGAACGGCTTCAACCTACCAACTGGCGGCTTCACTACTGGTTGATCGCGTATCCTATTAAGTCTAGCACGTCGGCAATAGCACGAACGACTGCAACATTAATGAGGCCCGCGGGCTTGAATCGACCCGCCGCATAAGGCCAGGCCAGCTCCGTCCGACCCAGTATCGTGCGCGCGGCGCACATGCGAATGCTGCTGCCTTTCTTTCTAATCGCTGTCTGCTTCTCTCTATGTACCACTTCCTCTCGCTCTCTTTACAACCTCCCAGTATCTCTCTGTATCTCTCTATATCTCTATATAATTCTCGTTCGCTCGCGCCCTCGCAGCGCAGAGCTGCTTACATCCCACCCACCTACCCTCCCAGCCATAACCATGGCCTGAACAAATGCGTGCAGTTGTATTTTCCAGCTGCTTGGTTTTCCATTCATGTTGCCCAAGAGGGAAGGGCGCCAAGCCAACAAACAGTGCCTGTTCGTTGTTGGTTCGATGCAAGTCTGGAAGGAAAGCACGTTCGCACGCACACGAAAGCCCCTGCCGTGGCGAATCGAGGCGACCCCACGATAGGCAAGGCGCTGCGCGCAAGACCTCGCAATTTTTGCAAACCCATTCCCTCCTCGCACGCATGGGTTTTTTTTCCGCCGTGTGTGACAAGCACAGTAGGCAGAGGCCTCTATTCACACCGAGTGTGGAGCTTTTTCTAAATCAGAACAGGCCCCTCCCAATGAATGAAGTGAGGTCGTCCATCAGCTCACGTCTGACATTCGCGTATCTCTGTTACAAGTGCAGTGGAGGGTATTGAGGATTTCGCTAAGGGCGGGTCCAGTGCGTACGTTTACAGGTACTTAACAGTTCATCCGTCGTTCGAGATGATATCAGCTGGTGTACAGCGGATATTAATCTTCACCGCTTTGCACCACGAGGCAATAAGACTATCGCACAGGATGAACTGTAGAGCAACCGAAAACGTACGCGCTCGACCCGCCCTGAAAGGGCAAATGATGAAGACAATACGACAGAAGGCAAAGTGTAACGCGGGCTTGTGTTACGAGTGCAATTGAGCGAGCGAGCAATTGAAGCAAAACAGTACATTGAGCGAAAGCATGAGCGAATAATATATAGCGAAGCTACAATGGTAACGGTAATGTGTGAAATTGGGGTGCGCTACGGGCCTAGCACCGAGGCTGGGAATTGTCAAGGCGGGGGTCTGGAGCGTGGGCAACCAACCGAACCGTGAGGTTGGGTCGCGTCGTGAACAGTGGCGGGAACAGTAGTCGGGGCGTGTTTCGCGTTGGAAACGATGCACTGTTGAGAGTTGTTGGCAGGAACAGTGGTGTACATGCTGAGTAGGGATGCGAAGTATGTGAAAAAATGAGGAATGATGGACTAGGAAATGAGTTGGGTACAAATATGTAACCCTAGAAAATTGTAGCTCATACTGTCTACCCCACTACAGCTTAGAAAGACTAAAGCATAAATGTTTGACACACCCCCATAGGCAAAGTGGGGGAGAACAAGGGGTCACAAGACCAGTCAAGCAAGGTAAGCTCAGGATGGATCACAACGTCACCACACATTCCGAGCACAAGTTCAAGGCCACAAGGCCAGTTCACATGCACGATTATATATCAAGGTAAACAAGCAAATGCAGGTATAGATAGATCACAGTACAAACAAGGTCAAGAAGTAAGCAAGTGATGTGAAAGAAAGAACGAGAATGGATTGAACTATGAATGAAGTGAGTACAAATATCAAACCCTAATTGGGTTGTACCCCCTATGGGATACCCCACTATAGCCTACACAACAGCATAAGCTATAATGTTCTAACACACCCCCATAGGCAAAGTGGGGGAGAACAAGGGGTCACAAGACCAGTCAAGCAAAGCAAAGCAAAGCTCAGGGTGGATCACAAAGTCACCACACATTCCAAGCACAAGTTCAAGGGCCACAAGGCCAGTTCACATGCAAGATCATATATAGAGATATACAAGAGTCAAGCAAACAAGAGCAAGAGTATATATAGGTCAAGGTACAAGCAAGGTCAAGAAGTGAGCAAGTGAGGCAAGAGAGGCACAAGACCCAGCTGCGTGCAGCAACGCTGATGATCACAAGGCGCAAGTGCCTTGGTGAAGACATCAGCAGTGTTGGCCTCAGAGGCCACGTACGCAAGTCGCAACTGTCCACGCTGCTGTAGCTCACGAGCAAGAAAGTAGCGGAGAGCAATGTGCTTTGTCCTGTGCTCCAGTCGCTGCTCTCGACACAAGGCCAGCATGGCCTTGTTGTCTACGTACAGGACTGGAGGAGAACGAGGCGGCTCTCCAAGGTCGGTCAGCAGGTAGGTGAGCCAGCGAAGCTCCTGAGCAGCCATAGCCCCGGCGTAGATCTTAGCCTCACAACTGGAGCCGAGAACAAAAGACGAGCGGGTAGCCCGCCACGAAACAGAGCCGGAACCAAGGCTGAAGGTGTAACCCTGTGACGACCGCTGCGTAGCCTGGTCGTCAGCCCAAGAAGCGTCCGCGTGCCCTGTGAGGACCACTGGACTGCGCCCTCCAAGCACTAGCCCCATGCCCGACGTACTGCACAAGTAGTGCAACACCCTCTTCGCTGCAGCCATGTGCTCTGGTCGGTGTCTCCCGGGAGCAACATAGCGTGCAAGAATGCTAAGAGGGTATGCAAGGTCAGGTCGTGTGCAGGTCATCAGGTACATGAGGCAGCCAACAAGCTCTGCATACAGGCCACTCGACTCTACGGACTCATCCGAAGGCAGAGCTGAGAGCGAGTGACGAGTAGGCAGAGGAGTGGCCTGAGGCGAGGAGTACGTGAAGCCGAAGCGCTGAAGGACCTGCTGCACCATGTGTGACTGAGTCAGGGTAATGGTGCGGCGTGCTCTGTCCCGGGTGATCTGCAAGCCAAGGTAGCTACGCAGTTCACCCAGGTCAGTGCACGTGTGTCTCTTCTGCAGCTCGGACTTCACGTGCACGTGTGTCTCTCCGGCCTGGAGACCCTGGGGTGGAGGTTGATCTGATGCGCCGCGTACCTGACCGCAAACGGCCACAGAAAATGGGGGGCAGCCGCATGCATCATAGACGTACGAGCGACGTCCATGACCATGCGAATGCGGCGCTCTGCAATCCCATTTTGCTGCGGTGAGTCCGGAAGCGTGAAGGTCTGGCGGATGCCTCGCGCACGACAGAAGGCACGCAGAAGGCCAGAGGAGAACTCTCCGCCTCTGTCTGAGTGCAGACGCAACACAGGAAAGTCCGAGCCAAAGCTCTGCCTGAGTCGGAGACGAGCTGCGCGGATCCAGTCGATCAGCACCTCAGTGACATCACCCTTGCTGCGCAAGGGGAAGACTGTGGTGTAACGCGAGTAGTCGTCAACCACTAACACGAAGTAGCGCTCGTGACCGAGTCCACGGACGCGGGCAGGGCCCCACACGTCCATGTGAAGTGTCTGCAACGGAGCCTCTATCGGAGGAAACTGGGAGGAGTGAGGGGCAGCACGCTGGGGCCCTACACACAGGGGACACAGGCAGGGCCAGGGCCCTGAGGAAGGGGAGGGAGGGACCGGGGGAGACCAGACACAAGAAGACGGGAGGACATGCCTCTGAGCCGAAGCAGAGAGGGGTGGCCAAGGCGGTGGTGCCAGAGGAGAGTCTCGTGAGACAGACGGCGACACGAACAGGGGGCAGACTCAGGACCAGACCTGGACGCTGCAGCAAACACCTGACCAGACGAAGGGACTCTACCAGACTCAGCACCGGGAGGAGAAGCAGTGGTCAGTGTGTACAGGCTCGACCCTGGCTGACGTGTAAACGTAGCCAGGTGGCGACCTGTGCTAGCCTCTGTGCAGTGTGTCACCCGCTGACGAGCAGGAGTGAACTGGTGGACCCCCACATCCTGTAGGTCAGCACCACTCACCAGGTTCGTAGAGAACGAGGGGAGGTAAAGACCAGTCAGGGTGCCAGAGGGAGCCGCCGGACACGGGAGGACCGTGGAGAAGCGAGACAGGACAGGACCCCCAGAGGGGTCAGCCAGGGACACCGCAACCGGCCGACTAAGCGGCGTGAGAGTGGTGCGGTCCCGAAAGAAGGAGCGAGACGCCCTAGAGTCAAGGGTGAAGGTGTGGGAGGAAGACGCCGACACAGTACCTGAGAGGGCAGACTCACTAGCACCTGAGAGCACAGACGCACTGGCATCTAGAGCAGCAGCCCCACTGGCACCTAACACACAGTACCAATGCCCGGGTCGGGCGGAAAGCACTGGTAACAGTCACCATCATCACTAACAGTCACAGCATACATGGCAGCAAGGATAGCATCAAAGTCAAGATCAAACACAGCTACACCAGCCCTAGACAGCTCTCCCCAGCGGGGGATCTCAGAGGCCTCCGGAAACTGCTGGCGCCAAGCGTCGGTCAGGCGGGCAAAGCAGCAGCGAGCGGTGTGGGTGCCCCCACACTCCTCACCCGCGCGGTCGCCGGTGCGAAGGATGTAGGTGCAGGGACCGAACGCCCCACCACGATGATGCTGCGAGTACCACTCACGGAGCTGCTGAGGGGCGGGGACGTCGCGAGAGTGCTGCCGCTGCTGCTGCTGCTGCTGCTGCTGGCGCTGACCACCCCCAGTGCCGCTCCTCTGGGACGAGCCACTCCGAACACCTCCACCACCGCCACCCCCGCCTCCGCCGCCACCGCCGCCACCGCCACCCTCGCCTCCGCCGCTCCCACTGCCTCCTCCGCCACCACCTCCGCCGCCACCTCCGCCTCCACCGCCGCCACCAGTACCTCCACTCCCGCCTCCACCCCCACCACCACCCCCACTCCCCCCGCCGCCCCCACCTCCTCCGCCACCGCCCCCGCTAGCTCCACCCGCTCCCTTGCCCCCCTTGCTCCTGCCAGAGCGGCGC